AGATCGAGCTGGAAACACAGACGAGGAGTCGCGATGAATCGATCATCGAGGGACGAGCCCGAAGAGCGACGAGAGATCGCGAGACGAGCAAAAAAATTATCTCGGATATATACACGATGTACCGTATAATATGGCTATAAGTGTATGTGTGCGTGTGTGCGTAAGCTGCGTGGATCGATGAAGACGTGATCATCCAGATCGAACATAAAAGTTTCAACTTGTATAAATTTATACATGTGCAAGCTTGTGCCAGCACACATGTCGACTCGAGTCGTTTTTTGCCCCATATATATCGCGCGCTACTTAACGGTGTTAAGGATGCGATCGCCTATTGAAGCTTCAAGAGACGAGGAGCTGCAATCGCGCTATTAGCTCGGATAATAAACCTTGGGCAGAAGTGCTGCTGCTGCTGCTGCTGTTGCGCGTTAATACGCGTGCACACGTACGACTGCGGCTATCGTTTCAAATTTATAGAAAATATTTTACTCGGCGAAGGCCCGCGGGGTGAAGATATAACGAGGCGAGCGCGCGCGCGACGTGGCACGGAAAAATAAGAGAACATCGCTCGAAACCCCGCGTAGTAGCGCGCACAGAGCGCGAGGGTGTCTCGCAAGCTCCTACCTGCGACGCACACGCTCACACACGCATATACGCTCGGATGGTATATATTATGCATACGTATAAACTCGAAGGTGCGAAGCAACATCGATATAAAATGTTGTACATGCCTCGGCTCTTGAATCAATGTAGCAGTGCGGGGAAATGAGCACACGCGCGCGTACGCTGCTTATAAAGACGCAAAGGGGGGCGCGAGAGAGGATAAAAACACGACGTTCGCGACACTTGGCTGTACATGCATACGTACCTATATATACACGCCGTGTATATACATACATACGTATGTGCTCGAGCATTAAGAGGTGCGCCGAGTATCGATTACGAGCCTCCGCAGCCGCCGTACACTATCCATCCATGTGTTCGTCCGAGATGTAGGCGATTGTATGTGTGTGTGTGTGTGTGTGTGTGTGTGTGTGTGTGTGTGCGCGCACACATATAGCGCCCAGGAGAGAAAGATTAACGGCAAACTTACCTTGTGAAATTAATACTCGATCGGCGCAGCGCGCGTACACGTAGTCATAGGATACCCATGCCAATACACACAGGACTTACGTATTTTTGCAATGTTATAATTTTCTAGGTTAGCGATCGTGTGCCGCAGCAGCTGCGCCAGCGTCTCTGGATTAATTCCAAGTCGTGTGCGTATACGCGCGAGGCTAAAAATTATTATAACGATATACGCGCGATTTGAGCGACACGCGCGCACCGCACAACGCATTTGATTTATATATTTTCGAGCCAAAGTCGAATGATTTGCCTAATAGCGAATCGTCGATCGATCGACGACTGCACGCGAAACCGATTAGGCGTTGATTGCGATCGTTGGAGCACTCGCGCAAGTGCATAGACGTATTATGCGCGCGGACAATTGAGCAATGCATACAATAAGGATCGACCTTGAGCGCGTTAACGATCCTATACGGCACATACGGAGATTTTTCATTCGACGGATAATAAAAGCCTTCCAGACCGATTCGATGAAATGAATATTGGTCAGCACCGTTTGGAAAATTCAATCTTTCGCTATTGTAACTCGTGCGTAATCGATGTCATTAATAAAATCGTGACGGCCTATGCAGCCGAGCTTACAATGCGAAATTATCAAATACGAAACTTATCTCGATTGCGCCATTAATAAATCACCGCGTGCGTACCATATACAAATGTGTACCGAAGGTATGCGGCAGCTCGTAACGCGAACGCATTGAAAATTACTTTTCTCGATGATACGTGCAAAAGCTCCCCCTCGGTGTGCACAAGATTCTAGAGTACGAAATAAAAAAGATCGGAGGCTCGACCTCGTTATGACTGTTAATACGCAGGTGTCGAATCGAGCTGGGCACGCATATAATAAAAGATCGTTGGCGATTATGATGTTGCACAACGCCGCCGCCGCCGCCGCCAAGGCAATTGCAAGTAATGAGATTCGAGATTTTTAAATATCCGCGAGCAGCTAGCTCGTTGAACATTTTTCTTCTATCGTTCGTTCAACCCTCTGCCACGTGGCTTATTTATTATATGCACAGTGGCTGGCTTTTATCAGTCGATCGCGATCTTGATCTTTCGTAATTGCGATTATTATCGAAAAATGAAAAAAAGCAATCTAAGAAACAGTCGTATAATTTTTCAATCTTGTGAGGGTGCAGCCTGATTTTCACAACTTTGTAATTAGGGTTCAAAACCAATATCGATTAAAACTATTGACCACCGAGCATTACATTTATTTTAGAGTCAAATTTTTCACTTATTTTAGCAAACAATTTCAAGCGCTTTTTCTCCTTCATATTTCAACATTTCTCTGTTAATAACGCAAGTTTACTGTGCAAAACTTAAACAGAACTGTGTGTACGTATATAACATTTTATCCTTTTTCTGCGACCCGAACATAGCGAAAAATCGATTAAATAAAATGAGAATATATAGGTCGTCATTTATTATAAAATCTCGCTGTAGTCTCGTTGAAAATTTACTAGAAATAATTAGTCGTTTGGTTTATGTTGCGCAGATATTGGCTTAGCTCAACGAGGCAACATAGTTTTCATACATGAAACGTTTCACTTTCATAAAGCATGCATAAAGTACTTACATAAGTACAGTATCGATCAAATTATTTTTGTTCATAAGCCAATGGGCCTAAATGCCTTTTTGCAAAATAAAAATTTAACGTATTTGAATTTGAATATCGCTAGGAAACTACGTTAAAAAATCGGATTATGCGTAAATGTACTGCCGACGTGATTGCTATAATTCGTTTGGAATGTTCATTACGGATATAGCTATCGTTGATCGTATATTATTTTTTTAACAATGAAAAATAACTAATACGATACTACTGCGGTTGACTTACAGTGATCGGATTTTTGTGATAAATTTTGTCAACTAGTTTTTATTTGATAGCAAATCAAATTTATATATTTTCAATATTTTATGGATAGATAATTCCAAGTTATTATGATGGCAATTTAAGAAATCAGCTTTCAGTCGTTGATTTCACGAAAACATAAAAAAACTCGAGTTAAATTTTTAGCTTTTCTAAAGTTAATAATCTCAGCTTGTAATAAATAATTTTAATGATATCACAACGACAGTAGAGAAAGACTATAATATAACCATCATTATAAAGCTAGTTTCGAAAGTTGTCGTCTAAGCAAGCATAGCAGCGCATCTTTTCAGAGTAAATAAGTCATGTCTGCATCTCGAGCGTTGATAAAATGATGGATTTTCTAAGCTTTCATAATTACAAATATAAAAAATGTTATTGAATATAATAGGTTTTTGCGCGATCTCGCAAAGAAGTATGGCAAATTTCGATTAAGAGCAGAGTCGAGGAATGTGCAAAGAATGATTTTTCTTAAAGCATACTGCACTTTTACGTTATCGGCACGCTTTTTGCGTGGGATAAGAAAAGATAGAAAAAGTGAGAGAAAGAAGGAATTTCGATAAGGTTGGCGTGCTTAAATTTATGCGATTGACACGATCGACTCAACGCAGAAAGAAAATGTGTACATGCTTATAACGGTCATACAGTGTGTGCAAACGGAGGTAAAAAAAGTTGAATCGGTGTAGATTTTCTTGGCAATTATATGGCATTATGTAATCGATATTTTATGGTAAAAGTCGGTCGTTGAAATGGATTGGAGAAAATTAATTTGGCCGTAAAATTGACAATTGCAAAATTTTGATATTTTCACCCAATTTGTACAATAATCGTTACAGTTTTTAAGTTTTCAAGGGCTAGACAATTTTCTGATTATCAGATTTCAAGTCGTGGGTGTAACAATAGGTCCGCGCAAGATCCGCATAACGAGCTTATGCAGGTAAAATCAAACGAGAATCGAGGAATTTCGCCGCCCCCTTTTTTTAAATATAAGAAAACACAATCAACATACGCGTCGATGCAGTTCTGTGAAGGGTCTTGGTTTTTATGACATCGCTACCTTGTCTTTTCATCGAAGCCGCTCGCGAGTAGTAGTACACTACAGTACGCGCTTAGAGGCGATAATTGTCGACCTTGCACCACACGCATACACACACACATGCTCTCTGTTAGCCGTGTATAATTGGTCGGTGATGCATTTTCTCACATCAGAAGGAAAATTCACGTCTCTCTCAAGAAAAATTCCATGGATAGAGCGGTCTCTTGGCTAGCGAGTCACGAGACGTCTAATTGTTATAGAGACGTGATTGCGCTAATGGTTTCCTCGTTCTTCATCAAGTTCGCGCCCGACAAGACGTAATCTTGATCGGTGCGATAATACGAAATTCATCCTTTTTTTTCCTTCGTGACAAAACACTGTTTTGTATTACACAATGGAATGCAGTTATATTAATCGCATTAGCCTTTAATAAGTCTTGGGTTCGACATCGAGTTTTACATCAATCGTTATTTTACTTCATTCGAAACTGGTGCATTAGCCTCCAACGACGGCCGTTTACATATCATAAAATTTAGAGTACGATTCAAAGAAGCGCCCGCAACGAGCTCGCGATTGCGCGCTTTGTGCTACGCGAAAGAAAAATGCACATATTGGATAATGTTCGAGCATATAGGCAGAGTTTGCATTCGCAGAAAAGCGACGATCCGTTAGAATAATGGCAGAGCTAGCTCGCGGGCTACATCATGCGCGAGGCGCGGGGACAAAAGGTGAGGAGCGAGAGGCGCAGAAAAAGAGAGATGGGAGCGACGTTCAGCTGCGTTACCTCGATCGGCCTTTTATATATATGTTACGTCGCTGCTATTCCAACAGTCGCGCGCGCGCGGCTAATAACTGTATAGAAAGTATCTCGTTTTTCGCACTCCGTTTTATCTTAATCGCCGATCCCGAGACTGCTAATGAATTTTGCCGATAATTGTTTGATTTTAAGCCTTTCTTTGTACTTACGCTCGATCGTAGGATATACGGGATTGAATTATGCCAACGGTACGTTTATTAGACATGTGGAACTTGCCTGAAACAGAGAAAAAACAAGCGTCATGAGTACAAAAGTCCTTTTTTTTATTCTTCTTCTTTTTCGTCTTCCTCTTCATTTGGTTCGACAATAAACGAGTTTTTAATGATACTCGTAAACTTTCTAATAATACACACGTCGAACTTGCGCTTATATACTTGAATGGAGCTTAACGCTCGCGCATAGTATGTATAAAATTAATATATTTCAAAAGTTATAATCCATTGATCGATAAATAGATCGGCGGTAAACAAAGCAAAACGAGGCATCGGCTGTAGTTGTATACGTACGGCAGAAAACTTATTACACGTAATAGCATACATTCCAGTCGCTCAGAGTCGACGGTACACGACGTCGCGCACACACAGGACGAGTACATACAGTGTTGTATATATATGTGTGTACGTAGTGTTGGGGGAGGGAGCGCCAAAGATGATTAGATAAATAACGTATGTATATTGTATACGCGTGCGCACGAGTAATAACTAAGGCAATTTCTCGATCACTTATCGCGTGTACTGCATATATGGGCTTTATGGAGATGCGCGTCGAGGATCGAGTTAGGAAAAAGAAGCCCAAGCGCAGTCGCCGTATACCGGTGCGAAAGGAAAATGGCATTCATCGAAGCGTCTCTCTCTCTCTACTTATTTAGCCCTCGTCAACTCTCTGTGAGATACATCTAGTGCGAATAATTTCTACAGATTTCTTTCGTCCGATAGCCTGCTGCGACGCGCGTGTATCGATTTTGCGCAGATATTTTTTTCCTCGCGGTGTACTTGTGCACGTGCATGACTTTTTTCTCTCCCTTGCAGCATCGACGCGCGTTGAAAAGAGAGCTTCGATGCGCCAGAAGCTGTGCGCGTTATACATTTTCGCCTTGCGCGCCTTATGCCTTCCAAGAGCAGTAGCAGCAGCAGCAGCTCGAGTTTGTTGAACTCGGCAGCAGAAGCAGCAGCATCCGTCGTCTTGCATACTTTATACTCGCTACTCTTGCTTCTTCCTCTGTCTTATCTTGGCTGTTCGCTGACTGTATCGTTCCTGCATAGGTGTGCACACGCACACACACGCACGTATACTCATTGTGTTCGCGCGAGTTGCGCACGTTTATTCTTTTCATATAATACGTAATGGCAACTCGAGAGAAAAATGTAAAAATTCAAAGCGCCGCACGAGTAAACTGCCAAGGGGACGACGAGGCGTACTTGAATCTTCTAGATGTGTAATGCACGAAAAAAAAAAAAAAGAATTGGTGCAGCGTTTTTCTGTTCGACGTAGCTCGAGGGTGCGACATTTTTGTGCAGCATGCGAATTTGTAAAAATTATTCTCGAATTGAAAATAATAGGCTTGAACGCGTGTTCGAAAATAATAATCACGTCCGAGCAGAGCGGTTGGCCTCGTTATGCGTATACGTGCTGTATACACACGCACACACACACATATGTAATCGTGAATCGAGTGGCAGTAATCGGACCTGTTGCACCGATAATCGACGAGGGTAGGTATGTACGCTAGGCATCGCAAGTGCGAGGTAAAATTAGATAGATGATTCTTCGCGTTTCCAAACAGCATAATACAACAACTTGGTTCTCGTAAGTCAATAAAACAAAATCCGTGCCCTATGCGATATAATAGCCGAACAATAACAGCCGATCCTCTACGATGTAGATGATGCAAAAATAGCACGGGAAATCATCGCAAAACGAGCATCATTGGAACTGTAATGATACTCCACTGTGCGAGTGTATGCGTTGTGTGTACATTTGAGCTGCTTGCGCTGCTGCTAAGAGAAAGAGAAACATTCCTGCGCATCGACGACGACGACGACGACGACGAAGACGAGTCACAATTACGGGATGTGCGCGGCGCAGCGCGGCCAATGATATATAAGAACGAAAAAAGGGGTTGAGAGAGAGAGAGAGAGAAGCGATTGAGAGAAAAAGAGATACGAAGATTGATCTAAAGTTAAGACGTTATGCAAGCTGGCAAGGCAGCAGGAGAGGACGAAGAAAACTCGACGGTGGTGGCAGTAGCGGCCTGTCGTAGATAAGCCATCCCTTTCTGTATTCTCTCCTTGCGCGCAGATTGTCCGCTGCCGCTGCCGCTGCTGCTGCTTCGGCTCTTATTGACTCTTCCTCCTTCTCCTCTTGCGGACGTGAGTCTTTGCGCGCATACGTATACTTATGGCTCGCACGCGCACTGCGTAGTATTGCAGGCTTTCTCGAGGAATTCCTTACTTCGAGAAAAGAGAGAAGGAAGATGCTTACAATCGACGATTGTCTCTCGCTCGCGCTTGCTTGCTTGCTCAACTTGAAACTCATCGTTATTGTACGCTCGAGCGAGACAGAGAGAAAGAAAGAGAGACAGATGCACACACACACACAAACGATCCTTTGAGCTTTGGCCCAAGTACATATGGACTGCGAAGAAAAACGTCTCGTCTTGTTAGCCATGGCTTGTTTTTCAAATAGTTGCGCGCTTATAATATAATTATCGCGTCCGCGAGTCTCTAGTTTCGTTGCCGAGACAGCTCACATGTGGCTCGTCCGAAGCATTTTGGTACTTGTCCGACGCGTCTTTTTCACACGAGCCTTGCACGCGAACCAAAGACCAATCTCCTTTACATATGTATTCTCTCGGCGAATGAATGCAATCAATTAGCATTATTAAGCTTTGTTTATATCTGCAGCGAATAACTTTTGTTTAATCAGTCAAATAACCAAAGAAATACATGAATGCACATGAAAATAAAACATCTTGAAAAGGATGGTACAAGGATAAAAAATTTTGTTCATTTTTTAGAAATAATGAACAAACGACAGCCCCAGCAGTTTATGGAAATCGAAAAAACGAAAATACACACTATCACGTAGCTGCACGCGTGAGAATCGGGTACGGTTATATTTTCAATGCAAACGTGCTCGCGAAAAAAGCTCACAATGAGAACGCTATCTGATTTCCAAAGCATCTTTCACACAGGCTCACAAAGGTGGCATCGGCGAAAAAGTCATGCCTGCGCAGCTGGAGCACTCGCGTAACGATGCTATGATTATACTATATAGCAAGTGGCTGCTCTTTATAAATTAAATCATTATGAAATTCGAGTCAATATCCTGAACTAGTTTCTTTTTATTCGCCAAATCTCATTACTAATAATCGCGCGCGAGAGTAAAGCAATTGCGACAGCTTAGAAAAACACACACACATACAGTCGAGTAAGAGTATGGTTCGACTTATGAAAAAGAAAGTCGCAAATTGCGTACATTTAATTTAATTATCTAAAACGACGTATCAGCGTTAAAGTGGCACTTGACGTTCAATCGACAACTCGTTTCGACGGCGTCCTCTTTCGAATTTTCAATTGACTTCGATTATCATCTCCGCATAAAGTATATAAACATACAACGACTACCGTGTTGAATCTATCGAATTTGAAAAACCTCGCAGCGATCGTTAATTTAAGCAAATCATTGAGTGCTACATCGAGCCGAGCTTCGAGTTCGTTAAATAAGAAACGTAACGGGAGGATCGAGATGTTGCATCACGATCCAGGCGCAGCCTGCGTAATATGGCGCGTTGCACAATGAAAGCCATTTCCCAGGGATATGCATCTCGAGAGCCGTTGGAACAGAAAGAGGAGAAAATCATATTTTAGGTTTAATTACCTGGGATAATTTGCTCGCTCCTTTTATTTTACAGACTCTTGTGTCTACCGTTCACCAATCGCTGCAGTAGCTGGGGCGAGAAAAAAAATTACGGATAGAAAATTGAATTCTCGGATCGTTGCTCATTGACGAGATTGTGTCAACGCGCGCTCGACGCGAGAGAAAGTAATGCTCCACGTCTAATTAATCGTATTTTTGCCTTTCTCAGATGCGTCAAGATGTGCAGCCAGAGCAGAAATCAATGTCAGACTCGACGGTCTCTAGCATGAAAACCTACAAATGACCCATCTAAAGGCGAAAAAGTCTCCTTCTTAATCATTGATGCAAGGAAGGAAAATCATCTTGGATTCAATACAGGTGCGGCGGGCAATTAGAATTGGCAAGAAGTCGCGAAGAGGATATAAAGAGAGGGAGAGAGAAAAAAGCGGTGATCGATCGATCACACTTCCCTGTACGGAGAGCAGCGACTTTCACGCATGCAAACTTCGATCCGGGCGACGAGTAGTAATAGTATCGGTAGTAGTATTAGTAGTAGTAGTAGTAGTAGTAGTAGCAGCAGTACTAGTAGTAGTAGCAGTAGTACTAGTACTATAAGAGTAGACTTTCTTGTGCAGAGTGCAAGAAAAAATCGCGGCTTCTTTTTTGCATGCCAGGCTTTTGCGGGCTGTCGTGCGAATTGGGCCAACGAGCATACCGATCTAGAAACCGATCGACAGCTACGAGAGCGGCGAGGTGTGCGCGCGGCCCCCTCGAAGAGAGAAGCATTTACGTTTTCGGGCCTCGTTTTTATCGATTATTCGATTGTCAAGTTTTGAATTTCGATGAATAAAAATGTGAGCCTCGATACCGATATGATTTATATTTACACGACTCAAAACGATGTTGCTCATACATAAATGTATGTTGTACACTGCGTAGAAAAACACATTATACACTTGTTTCGACTAATTATTTGATTTACATGAATGTATATATGAATTTTCCGTTATAGAAAGTAGTGGGTATAGAAACGCGTGCGCGTCTAGAGCAAGTGCCATATACCACCACACGGCGTATAGTTGCGCAAAGCGTCCGTATTCGCGTGTACCTAGACGCGTAGCGAGAAAAGAGGTTAGATCACTCGGGCGCGAAATTTTTCGCACGATTCAATGGCATCGTCCCAGAAAATCATTCATCTCGTGCAACGATTAAAAGATCGAGTCTTTTTTTCAGGCGTCAGGCTCGATTCGTCATTATAGAACGGCAATAAATAGGAGTTAGCAGAAGAAGGGGCGCGAGCAAAGAGAACGCGGAGCTGCCACATCGAGTTCAAATTGGCTCGGTGCTCGCTAGACTCG